CTACTTACCATGTGTGCAAATAAGGGAGCCCTGCGTCATCTCCTTTTCAATACCTTCAGGCTAATTGTTGGAAGAAGAAAGGAAGGTAATCATAATCACTTTCACATATAAAATAAATTCAGAATATTCAAAAATTAATGCTAATTTTTAAATAGAATAAATTATCTTTAAAAATTTTCTCGAATAATGAATATATGAATTCTTAAGCCCAAGATAATGCAGAAGTGAACCATGTGATTTTGCATGCTATAGAAAAAGCTGAGTGTTGCTAAAATTAAAGGCAAGAATTTTTTAAGAAAAAACCTTCAAGCTTCAAAATTCTGTCACTATAAGAATATTACAAATGTGACTTTAAATGTCCTCTGCATAGAGTGGACTAAATTCCTCTCCCCGATCTTCTTTCCCAAATATTTGATTGAAATATCCTGCTATATTTTTGGATAAGTGTCTCTCCCCTATTTCTGTGAGCTTTGAAAGCAGGACCTTACACTTCTAACTGAAGATAAGCATTTTGAAATACAGAGATTATTTTCTCAAGGCCCGTAAGTTTCACTCTGAGGCCGTACCTCTATCAGCAATGGTTTGATTAGTGTATCCCTCCAGCCAATGTCCAGAGCCATGGACGACCCATTTGCACAGCCACTATTCTGCACGGTTTCAGCAGTGACAGTGAGGTTGACTGTACCTAATGTGGCAGGAAATGTAAATGTCAGTTATCTGGATGGAGATTCAAGGAGGCAAAGGTCATATTGGACTCTAAATTGAGGTAAACTGTAAAAATAATTGAAGTTTTGCAGAACAGAGAATCAAATATAACATAAAAAATATAAACTCTTAAAGTCGGAACTTCATTCCAACTGCCCTGCCCAATCTCTGGGTATATTGGTCTTGGGTTGCAAAAGAGAAGTGCTGCGATAGGAGCGGGAGAACGCATTGGTGGTGGACCTAAGCAATGGGTAAACTGGTTAGACAAATAGTCTAACAGTCTAATAGTTAGAAACAGTCTAACAAAAGCTCTTTGGAGGATTTACAAAGGAACGTGAAAACACATTAACTGCAAATCTTACCCAGTGTTTGGGGAGTAACCAGCCAAGCAAAAGATTTTTTCTCATTGCTACAAATACAAACATTTTTATCTTCGGTTGAGAGAAGTCTGGCTTGGTAAACTCTAGATGCTTTCAGTACAGTATTAATCTGTGAAGGCCAGATAACAAAAGAGAGACAAAGAGGATTTAATCCTTTCCATACATAAACATAATACAGGCATGCATGTCTGAGACGTTAGAAGGAAAATTCCCCACCTTTCATACTTCCTCCCGTAGAAAGAATGGTTTTCAAACCATGGGGAAACCTTCAAAGTCTTGCTGCATAATCATTATAATCTGACCTTTGGCATTTATTGACTATTTTGAAGAAGCAATACTTACATCTTGTATGATGATGCATTACTTTAGAGAACTACAGCAAAATAAGCAGGTGTTTGGACCTATCTGGGTTGACCAACATCATAAGCTCTTGTGAGCTTCAGTTTCCTTTTCCTTATCTGTAAATTGAGGCCATTGTCATCTACAGCTCACAACTGTTGTGTGTGCTATAGCAAATGACACGTATAAAATATCTAGAATGATGCATCCTAACTCAGGCTCACACATAAGAACTTTATTAACAAGTAAGTAGACGCCAACTTTCTTGAGTGTGAAGAATGCTTTTCTTTTCTTTCTTCCTAAAAAAATAGCTATTACTGAATGCTGCATCCTAATAAACAGAGTAGGTTTTCATGCTTGATTTTTTTCAGTAAACAGTATCACTTAGGGTAAGAATATATTGACCAGGTATGTTACTTGGCATTTTGGACATGTCATCTGTAGCTACTGGTTTTTGGAGTTGACCAAATGATTGGATGTCAATAAAGGGTTGGATCTGGGGATCATGCCATATTGAAAATTATATTAAAAGAGATGAGCTAACGCAACATATTGAAGGCCATGTTATGATTACATATTATTATAGATGTTGTTGAAAATTGTAATTTAGGATAAGTTAAAGAGAAGGAAAACAAATCAAAATGCCTATGATTTGCAGTATGTTGTACAAGGCTCATTGTTAACATTATTTTATTCGGTTCTCATAAGAACCCAGCCAAGTATGTACTACTAACACCATTTTACACACTGACAAGCCGAGGCTTAGAAAGTGTAGTACTTTGTTCAAAGTAACAGAACTAGACACTGTTAAAACTAAGATGTGAACCCAGATTTAAATGTCTATGCTTTTTGTGCTATAAACTTGCTGGGATTTTTACCATGGCTATTGCCCAGCTGTCAAGAGCCCATGAAATCACTAAGATATCATGTATTCTGCATATCCTCAGGTAATCCGAGGGTAAAAGGTAAACAGATTTAAATGTTAATTTAATAGCATTCAGCTTAATTATTCAGAAGGGTCTTGTACATAAAGTTCTTGGATATGTTGACAATTGAAGGTGCAGACATCACTTTGTCCAATTATTTCCGCCATCATACTCTTATGCACATTGATAAAAGATAACTTACATCTTCAAGCTTGTCTTAAGTTCAGCCAGCCACCCAGATATACTAATTTTCATGAGTATTTCTAAATCCCACACTGAATGGTTAGTAAAGCTAGTTAATGTCTTGAAAAAATTTAGAAAAGACAAGTTCTTACACAATCCTTATCATCATACAACTGAAATTTGAAGATAATTTACACAGGAAGGAATTTGCTACTGACTAAAAAGACTTGAGTTGGTACCTGAATACATCTGTTGAGATAGTTGAAGACATTGGCCTTCAGAGTGAATGTTTCTCCTCGAACCACTGAATAGGGGAGGGTGAGGTCCACAAAGAAGGGCTGAAAAGCTTTCAGAGAGATGGTTGGGGAGATGCCAAATCCCGCTTTATCATTCATGCAGAATCCACTGGCCTTCCACTGTGTAATGGTATCGGGAAAAGTGAGACTAAGGTTGGCTACTCCTGTGGAGCTAAAAAAGGAGATTCAGATAACATTGAACTCTTTACTTTAAATTTCATTGATGCCTTATCTTTTCCTATAATCTCTACCAAATTATAAACTGTTGAAATACTTGACATAGACATTAATCTCTCACTTCCTTATAAAATGCTTAGAAAGATACTTTTATCTGTGTGTTTTTCTATCTTTTGTTATTGGTAGGCACCATGAGTGGTCTTTAGCACCAAAGTATTTAGAAGTGTTGGAATAAACAAGATACCTGTATTAATGACTCATTTAATTTGCTCAAGATACACAAATCAGTGATTAATTTAACTTACTTATAAGCTATTCATACCCACCTTTATCCAACTTTACTGATAGAAACCTGAGCCTTATAATGTAGTTTTCAAGTTTAAAATGTGCACATTAGCCTAACACTTAATTTTTTTATGGCATCTACTTAGAAACTTATTTTTCCCAATCTCACTTCCTCCCTTTCTTTCGCTTTTTCATTTTTTCTGTCTTCCTTTTTTCTTGCTTCCTCTGCATTTTGTTTTCTCTTATTTCTCCTTTCTCTATTATATTTATATGTATTTGTTAAGTATTAGGTTTGTCATGTCATACAATGAAAAATAAAATCTCAGTCTGTTTTATAGTCTTCCATACCACTTGCCTTCCAACAAAATCAAGTTCTTATAAAAATAAATGACGGGCCAGCCCCGTGGCGCACTCGGGAGAGTGCAGTGCTGGGAGCGCAGTGACGCTCCTGCCGCGGGTTCGGATCCTATATAGGGATAGCTGGTGCGCTCACTGGCTGAGCGTGGTGCGGGCGACACCAAGCCAAGGGTTGCGATCCCCTTACTGGTCACACACACAAAAAATAAAAATTAAAAAAAAAAAAATAAAATAAATGATAAAAAAATAACAGTGAGAAAAAGAAATAAGGTAAAAAAATGAAAGAAAGGATAAAGTAAAGGAAGAAAAGGACAAACTTAATAGAAACCTATCAGACACTGCAGAATTTTTTGCACACTCAATTTTTAGTCTTTTGGACACATTTATTTTAATATGGCTGAAAAATATTGTAAATATTGTCTCTCACTTAAAATTAAATCATTAAATCTCACTTAAAATTAAATGAAAAAAAAAAAAAAAGCTCACTCAGTTGTGATGAGATTCCAAATCCAAGTTTCAGGAAATGTTTTCCTCAGAGTTTCACTGTAAAATCTACCAAACTCATAATTGACACCTGAAGTCAAAATTATCTCTGAAAAACCAGATAGAAGAATGTTATCACCAGAAGGAAATGATCAATATTTGAACTGGAGAAAATGCTAATTAGCTTGATTTGATTATTCCACAGTGTGTACATGTATTGAAGCATCACATTTTNATGCTAATTAGCTTGATTTGATTATTCCACAGTGTGTACATGTATTGAAGCATCACATTTTGCCCCATAAATATATAGACTTATTATTTGCCAATCAAAGATAAAATAAAACTTAAAAACATAGAAATATATTTGGAGGAAGGAAAAACAAAGTATTGGAAAATATTTAACTATTTTATATCTAAAAAGTCAAATTTAACTTTTTAGCCATCATATATTGAATTAATGCGATGTCTCAGTCACTACTGAAAGTGCTTTTTACATGTAATTTATTCAATCCTCACGATAATCTTTGACAAAGCTTGAAAATCCCACTTCTAGATATGTCTTATGTTTTGTGAATAATCTGTGAATATTTTATAAATGTTTATCAAAAAGTTAAGAAAATATTAATTATTCATCTCTGTAATCATCTATGATTGATATTTTGTCACATTGTATTTAAAAATACATTATACAAGTAGTAGGAAATACACTACCCTAAAAAATAATTAAAAGACTAAAAAATAAAATCAAAGTTTTCTTTGATCTCTACCACTAATTCCCACTTTATATCTCTGAATATTTTAATAATATAACACTCATTTTACTATCTTTTTTTATTACTCAATTTTCTATTGCGCCTTCAATGTAACTTCCTTGGGTCACTGTTTTATTGCTCGTCTTTCATATATTTATAAATATTGCTAGGGGGTTTATAACTCTTGATTGTGAGAACACATTTAATGGGAGATTTTTTCGTCTTTCATATATTTTAACATATAAATATTGCTAGGGGGTTTATAACTCTTGATTGTGAGAACACATTTAATGGGAGATTTTGTGGGTACATTTTAAATTGCAACAGCATTTCAGCTGGACAGTTTTAAGGTTTTTTATTCCAACATTTGGTTGTGCACCTGCAGCCACATCCGGGCTGATTCCACAGTTCCAGCCCCATTCATGAGTAGATGGCATATTTCTGGTCTCAGTCACAACTGGGTTGTGCAGTTTCAGCACTTAAGTGTTGGCCCCCTTGGATTAAGTCAGGCTCCTGTTCAGGGCTACAATAAATCAGCATTAGCTTGAGCAATTAGTCATTTGCTTGTTTTAGGAATAACCCTGTACATAGATTATGATCTGTGCTGATTTCTCTTTCCAAATTTTAGCCCATCTTTATATTTACCAATAAACAAACATAAAATGATATGCATTAATAATCTATATAATGTATAAATATTTAAATACTATCTTTCACCTTCTTCCTGAAGCACTCCTTCCTTCCATGTTCTAGCACTCTAATGACTTGTGTGAGTATCCTGGATATGTATATATACTTCACAGATGTATAATTTTGTTTCGTGTGTTTATCTATTTTAAATTTATGTAATAATAAAAATAAATAAATAAACTTATGTAATGGTAGTACAATTTGGATATTACTATGTGTCTTATTTTTTCCATTTAAAACTTTGTTTTAAAATTCACCCATGTTGCATCTTAGTGCTGCACAATATTCTATAGTGTGTATTCACCACATATTATTTAATCCATCCTTTTCGTAATGGTCACCTGGGCTGTCTCCATTCCACACCCGTGCAAGCAACAAGGTGTTAGATATCCCATAACCTGCATGTCCTCTTATGGACTTGAGTCAAAATCCCTTGGTGTTTATGCCAGAAGTTTAATTGTGGTGTTGGAAGGCATATGCATATTAATTTAAGTGTTTTCAGACCCTACACAATGGCTATATACCTTATAGATCCACTAACAGTGCATGGAGTGCTCCCAGTTACTTCATTTGAATAATTTTTTGGTTTTTCTTTCTTTCCTTTTTGCCATTGGCATATGTGTTAATTGGTTTCATGATGTTCTTTTAATTTTTCTCTGATTCCTGGTGAAGTTAAATATCTCTTTATATATTTCTTACCTATTTGATTCCCTTCTTTGTATCATGTTTCCATACTTTTTGCCTATTTTTAAAATTTTCCAAACTTTTAAAAATGATCTAAATGATAGGATGATAGTCCTTGACATCATTCAGGTTTCTGATCTAAGTTCACCTCTTCATAGAGGTTTCCTCTGACTACCCTATTTAAAAATAGCATTTTCATGTTTAGATCATTTCCCTTACCTTGTTTTACTTTCTTTACAGTAGTTTTTCAAGAGATAGTACAATATAACGATAAAGAAACATGGACTTTGGGACCAGAGTGCTTGGATTATAACCCCATCTCTGTCATTTATTGTCATTGCATTGGGCAAATTACTTAATCTCCTTAAGCTTCAATTTCTTCATTGGAAAATTGGAGATAATAGTTTCTAATCTATATGCTGTGATGAGTAAAAGGGTTGATATATGTAAAGCACTTAGAACATTGCTTGACACATAGCAACCACATAGTAAATATTAACTATCAGGGCACTTACAACCACCTGAAATTATGTCACTTATATATTATCTGCATCCAAAATTCGATATAAATTCCATGAGTATAAAGATTTGCCCACCTTTTTCTCACTATATTTCTAACATTTGATATGACATTTTAAGTGAATTTTAATACAAAGCAAAACAGAACAACAGCTCCTCTCTTTCCCCAGACGAGTTGTAAGCGTTAAGAGAGTATCAACTGCTGTCATCCACCCTTCGTGTTATACCACGACTCACTTGAGTAGTCGGTGTCTTCATCACTGTCAGGATGTGTGGAATCCTTGCACAGTTCTGGTTTCCGAAGATGAGAGTTGGTAAAAACCTTTAATCCCATTGCCTTTCAAGATAAAGTCAGTTTTAGATCACACAACGGTATAGACTAGCAGTTTAGATCAGTTTTTTGTTCTCTCTATATTTCTAATTTCTTTTTCTTCATTTCTCCATCTCTAGTTGTCACATATTTAGAGATACTTCACTGCCATTTTCTAATTTCCATGTTTTTAATTTCCCTAGTTTCTCTGATTCTGATGACTTTTGTTCTCTTTTCTTAATTAATAGCTGCCGATAAAAATCTTCAAATAAGAGAGGGGAAAAAATCAACTCATATCATATCCCACTATACATTTAGTACTTTGAATTTGTCACTTTTGTTAAACTAGGGATAGTATCTCACTTGTAAACACTTTAAACATCTATATACTTTAATGTAGTAGAATTTAAATTTGGAGGATAATTGCAGGAGCAAAGTGTTTGGGGATTTATATTAAATACTTAGCATATAATGCATACAACACTGAGCCAAGAAAACTGATAATCTTCTCAGTTATTTGTTCTTTTGCTGATATTGTAATATTAGTTCTTATAATATTATTTTATTATTAAATTTATACTATATTATAAATGTATAATAATATTAGTTCTTTGAGATATTAGTTCTCAGATATTAGTACTAATTATAAATTAGTAGTACTCTGAGAATTCTTAGATTAAAAACTAACGCAATGAATATTTGTTATTTTTATTCCAAGTTATTTATATATCGTTACACATATTCACCATTTTAAGACACAATTGTCTTACCTTCACAAGGTCATAGGCATCTTTTCCAAAGTCAGCCCATACAGGTGTGTAATAAATTCCATTGTAAAGGATTTGTTCATTTTTGAGACATGGCATTTTAGGGCCATCTTCTAAGTTAAGTCTTTCAAAATGATAGCCATGTAACTCCCTGTGATATAGCTGATTATATACCTAAATGGTAGACGAGAATAAACCATATATTTTTCACTAGAAAAACCCCCCATCATTCTTTCTTTTCAAAGGCAGCATATAAATAACCTATATAACCCTCTGGAAATCCTAGGTAAAACTGTCATGACATCTATACCAGATAAACAGTTACTTGGAAGGTGTAGGCTCCCAGAGCTGTAAAGACCTTGAAATATTACTTAATGAGTTTAAGTGCAGACTTAATCACATTACAAACAACAAAAATAGATGAGACTCCTCTGGATTTTACTAACTTCCAGATAAAGAACTTCTCCATATTCTTTGATGACCCATTTGAGGGCATTGTCAGACAAAGCCTTTGGTTAATTCACTGAATCTCCCTGAGCCTAAGATTATTCATTAGTCAAAATGAGGGTATCATATTAATTCTACAGGGTTAATAAGAGAATAAAATTAAATAATGTATCTCAGAATACTCAGTAGAGCGCATGTCAAATAGAAGACATTCAGTAAGTGTCACATATTTTTTAAAGTGTTGCTCACTCTTACAATTAAAGAATTAGCATAATTAGAGTAAATAGATTCCAATTTACATGATTTCTAAGCTAAAATATTTTTTGTTCCTGGAACTCTGGTCAATTTCTTTATTCCCTAGTTTAAGGTTTCCCATTTTTGTCTAAAGGTAAAGAGATAAAACTATGCAGTTGGTGGTAAGTAAAGGTGGTCTGTCTTACTCACACTTTGTGCTGATAGCTGACTGTCATTCCTTAGTAGCAATATGCTTTGATCTACAGCCCAAAGAGCACAAAAAGAGTTTGAAGCGGCTGAAACTTGAAGACTGATATTGGATCCTGGCAAACTTTTGTCTTTAAAAAAATTTAAGTTGACCTGAAAATGAAAATAAAAGTACTTTGAATTTGTCACTTTTGTTAAACTAGGGATAGTATCTCACTTGTAAACACTTTAAACATCTATATACTTTAATGTAGTAGAATTTAAATTTGGAGGATAATTGCAGGAGCAAAGTGTTTGGGGGTTTATATTAAATACTTAGCATATAATGCATACAACACTGAGCCAAGAAAACTGATAATCTTCTCAGTTATTTGTTCTTTTGCTGATATTGTAATATTAGTTCTTATAATATTATTTTATTATTAAATTTATACTATATTATAAATGTATAATAATATTAGTTCTTTGAGATATTAGTTCTCAGATATTAGTACTAATTATAAATTAGTAGTACTCTGAGAATTCTTAGATTAAAAACTAACGCAATGAATATTTGTTATTTTTATTCCAAGTTATTTATATATCGTTACACATATTCACCATTTTAAGACACAATTGTCTTACCTTCACAAGGTCATAGGCATCTTTTCCAAAGTCAGCCCATACAGGTGTGTAATAAATTCCATTGTAAAGGATTTGTTCATTTTTGAGACATGGCATTTTAGGGCCATCTTCTAAGTTAAGTCTTTCAAAATGATAGCCATGTAACTCCCTGTGATATAGCTGATTATATACCTAAATGGTAGACGAGAATAAACCATATATTTTTCACTAGAAAAACCCCCCATCATTCTTTCTTTTCAAAGGCAGCATATAAATAACCTATATAACCCTCTGGAAATCCTAGGTAAAACTGTCATGACATCTATACCAGATAAACAGTTACTTGGAAGGTGTAGGCTCCCAGAGCTGTAAAGACCTTGAAATATTACTTAATGAGTTTAAGTGTGGACTTAATCACATTACAAACAACAAAAATAGATGAGACTCCTCTGGATTTTACTAACTTCCAGATAAAGAACTTTTCCATATTCTTTGATGACCCATTTGAGGGCATTGTCAGACAAAGCCTTTGGTTAATTCACTGCAGACTTAATCACATTACAAACAACAAAAATAGATGAGACTCCTCTGGATTTTACTAACTTCCAGATAAAGAACTTCTCCATATTCTTTGATGACCCATTTGAGGGCATTGTCAGACAAAGCCTTTGGTTAATTCACTGAATCTCCCTGAGCCTAAGATTATTCATTAGTCAAAATGAGGGTATCATATTAATTCTACAGGGTTAATAAGAGAATAAAATTAAATAATGTATCTCAGAATACTCAGTAGAGCGCATGTCAAATAGAAGACATTCAGTAAGTGTCACATATTTTTTAAAGTGTTGCTCACTCTTACAATTAAAGAATTAGCATAATTAGAGTAAATAGATTCCAATTTACATGATTTCTAAGCTAAAATATTTTTTGTTCCTGGAACTCTGGTCAATTTCTTTATTCCCTAGTTTAAGGTTTCCCATTTTTGTCTAAAGGTAAAGAGATAAAACTATGCAGTTGGTGGTAAGTAAAGGTGGTCTGTCTTACTCACACTTTGTGCTGATAGCTGACTGTCATTCCTTAGTAGCAATATGCTTTGATCTACAGCCCAAAGAGCACAAAAAGAGTTTGAAGCGGCTGAAACTTGAAGACTGATATTGGATCCTGGCAAACTTTTGTCTTTAAAAAAATTTAAGTTGACCTGAAAATGAAAATAAACAAAAGGGCAAAGGGATGGCAAGCCATATGAGAAGAATCACTTTTGAGACTATTCCTAACTTTTTCAAAACACACAAATTAGAAGGGTTTTCTGTGATTTACGCTCCTAATGACACCCCTAACTCAGAAGAGCAGGAACAACATCCAACATGAATGCTATAGCACCGGTATTTTTAAGTCATCTAGCATATTAACTTTACCATGCTAGCTTTCTTTCATTTTCCATTTCACAATTGTTAGAAAAATCAGGAGTACTAAACACACCACACTTCTAAAGTTTCCTTTGTTTTCCAATAAGTTGAACAAATCTGAAAGTGAATAGTGCTTTTTCCCTCACCTCATTTTTGAAGCATTTCTCAATTTGGAATCGGGAGCTGTCAGTGACCATTTCTCCTCCGGGATGTAAGCTGTAGACAAGTACAACTGCAGAGGGCGCTAACGCAGGGCTAACCTCTATAGGGATGGAAAATATGCCCTTCATAGCTGTGAAAAGAAAAGATGAAACTAAAAAAGTTCCTTGTAGCTGACTGTCATCTTGCAGAAATGTACTGGATTTCCAGCCATCTCACTGACTGCCTATGAATAAGACTGCCCCAACCAAACACATTTAATTTATAAAGCATTTCTTTATAATTTCTTTACAAAGTTATGATTTATAAAGCACTTCTTTATAACTTCTTTATAGAGTTATGAGAGTTCATAACTTACTCTGTACATTATAAAAGGAATAGATATCTCTTCATACCCCAAACTTCAAAATCTTATCTTATTTTTAAACTTCTTTTAGTTTGAGCGTAAAAATACTTAACTGTTTTTCTTCAAAGAGGGTAAGAAGGACCAGTGACTCTTTCCCTGATAGTAGTGCTTTGAATATAATTAAAACTATAAATATTTATTCACTGATCAATTTTTGTTTGTTTGTTTGGCATTATGCCTATTCATATGTCTTTGCATACTTTCCAAGGGTGGTTTGGGGGCATTATTCCTATTCATATGTCAATCAACAGTCCTAAAATGGGAGGGCTGTGATTTTTAAAGGAAAAAGTAAAGTATGCCCTAATTAAAACATTCTACTTAACTTTAAATTCTATGCTAAAATTAGAGGCCTCACCATCATTATTGACCTCAATTTTCTCTTGCCCATGAAGAACGATTACGCCTTTTGCAATCACCTAGGAGAATGAAAATATTATGATAAAGTTTAGGGAATAGAAACAAAATTTCATTTCATTATAAACTTATGTAACTGAAGTCTTTTCATAGTCTGAACTGTACAATTGAATATGCTTACCAGTGAGCTCAGGATACCAGTATATGAGCACATAGCTCTAATAACTATATTCAAGAAAATTTAGGAGTCATGGATAAATTTGCTGGGAAGCAATACATTGTTCCACATTCCAAAATAGTTCCCTGTGACAGGATGAAAAACTTTTTACACATATTAGTAAAGGCTCTCTGAAAGATATGTTTGATATGTAAGGTATAAGCAATGCCTGCTTATCCATCTCCACCCAAAATTAAAAAAAAATAAAATTAAGTGGGGTGGAAGTTCCAGAAAAATGCTTCTCTCACTTCAGCTTTATCAGCAACCATGTGCAAATTCCCATCTGTAGACTTGAATTATGATCTCTAAGGTGCAAGCAATGACTGGAGACTTGAAATCTGTTAAGGAAATTACTGTGTTTTTAAATTAAAATTTTTGAATTCTATTTAAGAAGATGCTGAGAAGGCTGGCCAGTTAGGTTAGTTGGTTAGAACATGGTGCTGATAACACCAAGGTCCAGGGTATGATCCCTGTAGCAGCCAGCTGCCAAAAAAGAAAAAAAAAAAAAAGAAAGATGCCAGCACTTGTAGAAAATTTAAAACGTTCATACTATCATGCAGCCTCAAATTGCTGGAGCTGGTAATCCTACCTTGGCTAGTATTTTATCCAACTCTAAAATTGTTTTAACTCTATGAAGTACCAAGTTTAGATAATTAATTCATTGAAAGTAACTGAGCATCTACTAGTTGCAAGATATTGTATTTGGTACTAAAACATTTGTGAAGAGGTTTAAAGCTCAGTATTTAATGGGCCTTTCAGTCACTATTCTGAGTCCTGTTAGACTTATTAACTCACTGACTTCTCAAAAAGAAAGAAAGAAAGCTCTTATAACAGATGAGTCAACCAAGGAGGCACACAGAGGTATTGATATTTGCTCAAGATCACACAGTTTTGCTGCCTCCTCTAACAATCCAATCCATTGAGCCTCCATTCATTCATTCTAAAATATTGTATTGCAGGTCTCCTATGTGATGTGCACCGTGCTGGGCAAATGTATACAATAACAGACAAACCAAACATAGTCTTTGATATCTTAGAGGTTACAGAACAGTGGGGCAGACAGGCAAATTTCAAGCAACCATGTAAATAAAGGGAGAGGTTGGTTAACGATATAAAATTACAGCTAGAGAGGAAAAATAAGTTCTAGTGATCTACAGTAGTGCTAGGCATCTGTAATTAACAATAATTTATTGTATATTTTCTTTTTTAAAGATGACTGGTAAGGGGATCTTAACCCTTGACTTGGTGTTGTCAGCAC